GTGAGGACCTATGAGGAATAGATTGTTGGAAACTTGCATGAACAATTGAACTTTTTTAAGACCAAACATGAAAGTATAAAAATGTCAAACAGCAGTTAATTCCCAGCCAAAAGTACATGTACCTGTAAAATAATGTACTTCTTTGACCAAAAAACTTAGCAATAACATAGTTTAATCCCAAGGATTTAATACTACTATTTTAAAGTTTATACTGACTCAAACAGATCTGTGCATCTTAAATTATTTCACCATCAAATTGTTCTGTTAACAAAGAGCCCTTTAATGAAATCCACTATTAAGAGTACCAGTGGATGTGTCTAAGGGGTTCATGTGAAAGTCCATGCTTGAGTATAAGGAGTGCTGGTCACCATACCTTGGTGGCTTGAGATAAGACAAAATATTACTATAAAAGCGGACGCAAATTTCCTCTCATCACTTACAAACCGACGAGTCAAGACAGCAACTTCAACATGAGGACTTTCATCATTCTCGCTCTTTGCGCTCTGGCAGTATATGGTGAGTACAATATTTTTATATACAATAGAATAGAATAGAATATTTATTGAGTACATTCACACCCCTGAGGGTCAGGTACAAGAAAGTGTAATACATAAAAGGAATATATATGATTTAACACTAGACTACTATATACAACATATAATATATGCCTAACTGTAAAATATGTGTTACTACAAAATGTTTTTTGCGCAGCAGGAATTAGCCTTTCTAAATTGAGTATTACTTGTTAATATTCGGAAGGCATCACTAATATATTTTGCAACCTTGATGCAATCTTGATTTACTTGATAGATGTTTCGAGTGTTCAAGCCATTTGTCTTTTTAATGGTTGAAAAATATATTATTGAATGTTTTTTGCTTTAGAGAGTGACACATGTAGACAACTGATTAATTTTGGAACTACTAATTTATAAAAAATGACGGATTATTCTTAAAATGACTAAATCAAGCATTCCTTGTACAAAGTAAATTGGCAGTGGCCTTACAAAATTTTTTTCTAAAACATAAAAGCAAATGAAGTTTTAATAACTCTATTATTTATCGATTTTCAAAACATTACAAAAACTTGGATTGGATTGGATTGGAACTTGGATTGTTCAGAAACAATCCCTCTTATTAATTTAGTCGTTGATGAATGTATTTATATTGAGGCAACTCCATTCATCCATTGATATTGTTTTATAGCCCAGGATCCTCCTTGCACATGTAACCCAGATGGAGAGGACATTTGCATTGGTGAGACTCCAGCGGGTTGCTCAGCAGATGGTGGTTCATGCCAAACTGACCCAGACCCATTCGGTGATAACAACCCATGCCCAGATGGCCAGGAACCTGGTAAATACTAATTTTACCAATCCAAAATGAAAAGTTGAAGGGATGTAAACAGAAACCAAAACTTGATACAAACCATCTTTTCTGATACATTTTGACTCTGTGTTTCTGTAAACATCAATGCTTGAAATCACCTTAAAGTATTTTTCAATACCTAGTCTTATTATAGAATTTGGTACTTAAAGTAGAATCAGATCTAGCAAGTTGTCAGTAACATGTTTTTGACAAGAGCTGTTTCAATTTTTACAATTATTCATGCATAAGTATTATTTTAACTATTTTTATGGTAAGGCCTACCATTTTTATTGTTTGAGAAAAATTTGTCACTTTGAATCTTAACTTCAATAGTTTATAACATATAATGGATATTTTGGGAGATGAAATTTTGAGATTGTAAGGAATATATTGGTAGATCAACTGTACTACATGTTGCTTGCAATTCTGTCCCTCCCTATTGGTCTGATTCTGTCTTTGATAATCTAGTTTGCAAGTTTTGATATATTCAGAAAAAAATGTTTTGTTAAGTCTGAGTCTATTCTGATTCCTGGACTGTGGTTTTATATTTTGTGGAGATTTAATGATTTAATGTCAACAACAGCAATATTTGATGTAAAATTAAGATACAAACATTCTAAAAAGTCTAACTGTGGTGAATTCATACAAATTCAATACTTTTTAAACTCACATTTTCAGCCATATAGGTTAATGTCTATGTCTATTGATACAAATTAAATTCAATAAAACTATCAATTTCAGCCGTATGGATTGTCGGAGATTGTTGTGATGCTAGCTACACTGAGGCCCATACCTGTTGTACTCCAGCAGAACCTTAAGTAAGTGTATCAGTATATATATTGCCTAATTAACAAAGAACAATATTATAAATAGCACTATTAATATATCCTTAGAGTGAATGCCTTGGGTGCATGTATTACTCTCATCACGTTTTAAATTCTCAATTGTGTATATACCTTGAGATATATTGTCTGAAATGTTCATAAGGTATATTTTCTTAGGATATGTTGTCATTAGTGTTCAAAGAATTTTAACCTGGAAGTACCTTTCATTACTGCTCTTGTTGGTAACCATGATGACTAAATATATCTTGTTATAATAGAAATTATATGACTGTGTTGCAATGCTGGATCTTTTTCACTATAAAATACTGTATGTAATTGATAATAATACTGTTATGGGATTTTATTTCTATTTTCAGATTGATTGGTGGCAGTTTTACAACATCAGTTGAAACTTGTATACAAATACATTTAATACAAAATAAAAGAATTTAGTTTACATTTAAAAGTATTTGTTTAGTTGCACATGAGTTTTTGTAGTAGTAGGTCACTTTGATTTCAATACGTTGTAGTAAATTATCTACCCTGAGCTAATAATCTACTTTGTTCTCTGTAATTAGCGCCTAGGGGATTAGAAATTTAAAATACTGTAGATTGGGTTAATTTGGCGATACTTAATTTGGCGATTTTGCCATTTTTGGCATATTGGCGGCTATTTAATTTGGCGGATTGCAAAAAGAAAAAAAACATTTTAAGGACCACTGGCGATATTCACCACGTTTGTACATTTTTGTAAGATCATCCTTTACATTTTGTACCTCGATCTATGCTGCTACCATACTGCGTTTTTCCCTGAGTATTAATGAGTGACTGACCAGTTCTGAGCCAATTTATGAGAGACATTTTTTCATATTTTTGGAGATAAACCGGAAGTGACCTAAATACACTGCAAATACCCTAGATAATTCCCGGGGATTCATTCCTTTTTGGCGAAGATTTAAATTGGCGAATTTTTCATTTTCGCCAAATTCGCCAAATTAAAGCGGGCGCCAAATTAACCCAATATACAGTACATCCTTCAGACTGTTCTAATAAGCATCCATATACATTATAGAAGTCAAAAATCCCCAGGAATTTTGTGTACGACAATTTTTTTTTTGCGAAGAATGTCTTATTTGCAACATCAAAACGAAGTAACCACATATTTTTAAAATAATGATATATATTTTTATTGGAAAGATTATGGTAAAGATCGATGAAATAAATCAAGAGTCTTGCAAGTTTTGGGGCAGTGCTACTAAACTGTAATATAGTCTATATTAGGCAGAGGGTAGTTTATAACTACACTCTGTGCACAGGGTACCACTAGAGACTGTTGGGTATCAATCTTGTAAAGTTTAACCTCATCTTTTTAATTGATGATAGATCACCATTTTTCATGTAAAATATTGAAAATGAAGATTGTTATCTAATTATGGACTTGTTTGATGAACTTAGGCCACTTTTTCAAATCTGGTTTTTCACTGTTCAAATTAGGGGGTGTTCAATTTTCAATGTTTTTTTATTATGGGAGTCAATGGGAGGAAAATATGGGATCGAAAAAAAAATAGTTCAAATTGGAAGGTGTTCGGATTAGCCAGGTGTTCAGGTATACAGGTTCTACTGTACTGTTAATGCAAGACTGAAAGGTACAGGTGTATGGAATGAGAGATGTGTATACCTGAAACTAACTAACTAAGGAAATCATAAAAAAAATTTGAGGAATACAAAATAATATGTGTAAATACCTAGAAAGTGTATATGTGTCTACATCATTTTAAATGTGTGAAATATGATTGGCAACCTGACATTTTCTCAAGGCTGTCACATCTGCTTATTTTCTCAATGCTTTATATGAGTTTAAATATTGTTATATTTGGGGATGTGGTGTCAAAGGGATATATAGTTCCTTGTACCTAATTTAATGACTACTAAATATGCAAGCACACAACTATTTTTATGGTAAGGCCTACCATTTTTATTGTTTGAGAAAAATTTGTCACTTTGAATCTTAACTTCAATAGTTTATAACATATAATGGATATTTTGGGAGATGAAATTTTGAGATTGTAAGGAATATATTGGTAGGTCAACTGTACTACATGAAAAATAGAAAATACCAAAATGGTTACAGAACACAGCAAGAAAAAGAAATATCTAAGAGTGCACCTTTCATAAGGAAAATAAACCCCAACTATCCCAAATCATAATCCAATGTGAAAGGAAACAGTGTCTCACCCCCCTCTCCCAACATTTAAGTACTGATATCACAATCTTATACCGCAACACCAAAGGACATTTGAATAAATTGAAAGGTTGGAAGAAGGTTTACCACGCTATATGACTCGGTGTACTCAATAAATGCTCCAACTACCAGACATTAAGGACTCTCAGTCTGAATCCTTCTTTCAATCATTTATGTTGACTTAGACAAGTTTGTGTTGCAGAGATGGACAAATGTAGAAATATTGGTGTGATAGATCATATAAACATAATATATTGATCCTGAATTATTGGTGTGATACATAGGTGTCACATTTGCGCTAAGAGTCATGAGCTAGCAAGACCTTTATTCTGAATTGTATCAACTCTAAATGTTGGACTAGTTAATGCTACTGTGATGGACAAATGCATACCATCATTCAATATCTTTAAAATAGCATTAAATGTTCAGAGAAATTTATTTTTGCTTCTTCAGACACATGTACAGAAGTTTGTCTGGTTCATGATCAGTCAAACTATTTGTAAATCGTGTACTCTATAATAACAAGTTCCTGGTTAATATTATACATTTTTTATATCTTTTGCTTTCAGGGGGACCACGATTTGGTGCAGGATTTTCTCCAGTGAAGAATAAACTTCACACCATGCTGAATAATAGACATCCTCAGGGGGCTGCCAACTACATGTCACCAAATATGATGCAAAATCAGGTATGTCACGGCCTATATACACAGTACAGTTGGACTAGTCCATTCCCCCTGAATGTATCAGTCCATTTTGAAATATAGGTGTGTGCTGTCAACAACTTCGATAGCACATAATAAAGTTTTTAAAAATGATGAGAAATTGGATACTAGAGCTCCCTCAAGCTGTTTATGATATTTTCTGATCTTCCACACCCAGCTACAAAGGAATTTTTCTTGCTTGATGTATCATGTATCTCCAATTTGATTAATTTAGAGCTCTATTGGCATACACCTGGATAAACTTCTTGACATGCTTAGTGGTCCAATTTGATTAATGTAAAGCATACACCTAGATAAACTGTAAAGCTTGTGTAAAAAGTAATAGATGGAATTGAAACAGCTCTGATTGTAGAAATATCAATTTCTTGGTGGTTTGATATGTGAATATCACATATTAATACTCCAAATTCACATTTAAGAGCAGATTTCTAAACATTTAAGTTTATTTTTATCACATTCAACATTTTTACTCTAGACATTAGCTGACCAGAAAAAACGTCAGATGCTACTCCGCAATGAGCTTTTACGCCGCACACAAATGCAGCAACGTAATATAGGAGGCAGCAGTAGTGGCAATATGTTTGGGCAACCACCAGACCCTAGGATGGCAGGAATGAATCAACAACCATTGCATCCTGGGATGCAGAATCAACCAGGTGCGGAAGGATCTATGTATATATAAATATTATTCTAGTATATCATATCATTAACTTATTGCTGGCCAAAGCTATTTTGGAGGTTGTCTGCTGATCACCACGAACTGAAAATATTTGGATTATTTCCATATTTGCCAAATGCAGCTTATCATGGCTTTACATCAATATATTGAACAGAACAAGTTTAAATAGATTTCATGATGCTCTGTATGATGTTGATTTAAAAATTAATGACCTTCTTTTCATTATATTTTGAATTTTTCTGTTATAGGTTATGACCAAACTTCGATGATGTCAGGACAGTCAAATCCCATGATGCAACAGCCTGGTTACGCACAAGCGCCATCTTACAACAGCAATCCTAGTTCAGGGATGATGCCAAACATGGCTCCTCCTAGTGGGCAATCTGGAAACTATTTAGGCCATCACCAAACTCCACAATCCAACTTTGCACCAACTAGACAACATAGCTTTGAGTGAGTTGTCATTTTGAACTACCCCTTTTCATTTTGCTCTAAAAACCCTCGCTGAAAAGACTAAGAACCAATTAAAATACTCTATGCTGAAAATCAGAATACTCAACAGTTTAAACCAATCAGAATACTTCTTTCTAAGAACCAATATACTAGATGAGATTGAATCAATACTCAAAGGAGAGTACAAGGGTGCATCGTATTGAGAACCAATCAAAATATCTTCCGATGATGTATGACCCAATATTCAAAATTCACCATTCTTTGAATCAACCAAGATGTAGATCTTAGATATCCTAGGCCTGAACTAATGCAAAATATAACTTATTCTATGTAATCTGTATTATAGATCTCAATATGGTAGCATGAACCAAGGCCCAGGACCAGGGAGTGTTGCACCTCAAGGTCCTAGTCAAATGCATATTATTACTTATTCTGTGTAACCTGTTTTATAGATCTCAATATGGTAGCATGAACCAAGGCCCAGGGCCAGGGAGTTTAGCACCTCAATGCCCTAGTCAAATGCATATTTTTACTTATTCTGTGTAACCTGGTTTATAGATCTCAATATGGTAGCATGAACCAAGGCCCAGGGCCAGGGAGTTTAGCACCTCAATGCCCTAGTCAAATGCATATTATTACTTATTCTGTGTAACCTGTTTTATAGATCTCAATATGGTAGCATGAACCAAGGCCCAGGGCCAGGGAGTGTAGCACCTCAATGCCCTAGTCAAATGCATATTATTACTTATTCTGTGTAACCTGTTTTATAGATCTCAATATGGTAGCATGAACCAAGGCCCAGGGCCAGGGAGTGTAGCACCTCAAGGTCCTAGTCAAATGCATAATATACCAAGTTCCAACACAATGTCTGGCAACTACAGCTCCATGGCACCCCAGCAATCATACATGGGACCACAGAATGTACCTCCCAGCTCACATCAAGTTCAGCAGTTACAGCAACAGAGGTTTGTTAATGCATTAGGGAAAGAATGGGCGAATATGTATTTTTATGTCACCACCATGGTGACATATTTGTATGGTTTCCAAATATTTTGTGGATGGCGGTCGGCATCTGTTACAAAATTCTTGTAACAAAGTCTTACAACTTCCAATAACTTAACAAAGTACTGTTATGACTGGCTTCAAATTTTCTCAAAACCATCTACAAGTTCTTAGACATTCAAATCTGACTTAATATTTGACCCTGAATGACCTTCTCAAGGTCAAAAAAGAACAAAAAGGTCTTTTTTCAACTTGCCTCAGATTGACCAATTTTTTCAAAATCATCTACACGTTCTCAGAAGTTCAAATCACAATTTAGTTTTGAGATTTGACCTTAAATGAGCTTCTTAAGGTCAAAAAATATCTGAACGATCTTTCAACTTGCTTCAAATTGACGAAATTATTTTTTTCAAGTTCTCAGAAGTTTCAATCTGACGTTAGATTTGACCTTTAATGACCTTCTTAAAGTCAGAAAAGGTTAAAAAGATGTTTTTCAACTTGCTTCAAATTGACAATTTTTTCCAAATCATCTCGCAAAAGTTCTCAGATGTTCAAATCTGACTTTGGTTGACCTTCAATGACATTTGAAAGGTGGTGACATTTTGTCATATTAATGCCTTGTGTAACTTAACTATATCTAGTGAATATATTCAGTAGTTCTAACCTACCTTGTAACTGTACAAAATGATATTGAAGTAAATAGGATGAGTAGTAATATTACAGCAACAGAGATCACTGCATCATTTGTAGGCCCAACATTTTTCTTTTTCCATATTTTGGGACCCGATAATCTTTATTTTTGTCTTCCTAAATTTCATCTTCCATATTAAAAATCACAACATTAATTAAAACATACTTTTGCCAAACTTATGAAGGGGAGTGTATATGGATTAGGGTGTTCCCTTTTCTCCCCAACTCCTTCTTCCACAATGCTTTCTCAAATTGACTCGCAAACCCCTACCGTGCAACACTCTAACACTGACATCACAATACTTACTGTTTATGTGTTACCAGTCAAACAACACAATACTTGTTGCATATAAAAAAGTTCAAATCTAACTGAAATATACCATACTGGCTAAAAACTGAATATGTGATGTAAATGTCAGTCCTGGGGTACCTGTACCCCCTTCACAGAAATAAAGATATATCAACACGTATTATATATCTTGCCTTCAAATCTTCAGAATTGATAGATAATTGAATGATGTATCACTGGTAGGAAAATCACTGGGATTGGTCAATAAAAAGTATCTGTGTAAAAAAGCCACTACTTAATGATCACCCCTCGTATATTTCTAGGATGCTAGCCATGCAGCAACGACAACAACAAACCCAGCAGCAACAGACAACTGCATTATTAGCAGGATTAAGAGGACATTTATCTGGTGGACAACCTCAACAACAACAACAACAACCTCCACAATATGGGCAGTTTCAACAACCCCCACAATACTAGCAACAGAGGACAATATCTAGACAAACAACAACCCTCACAATACTAGCAACAGAGGACAATAACTAGACAAACAACAACCCTCACAAAATGGGCAGTTTCAACAACCCCCACAATACTAGCAACAGAGGACAATAACTAGACAAACAACAACCCCCACAATACTAGTAACAGAGGATAATATCTAGACAAACAACAACCCCCACAATACTAGCAACAGAGGACAATATCTAGACAAACAACAACCCCCACAATATGGTCAGTTTCAACAACCCCCACAATACTAGTAACAGAGGACAATATCTAGACAAACAACAACCCCCACAATATGGGCAGTTTCAACAACCCCCACAATACTAGCAACAGAAGACAATATCTAGACAACCAACAACCCCCACAATACTAGCAACAGAGGACAATAACTAGACAAACAACAACCTCTACAATATGGGCAGGTTCAACAACCCCCACTATACTAGTAACAGAAGACAATATCTAGACAACCAACAACCCCCACAATACTAGCAACAGAGGACAATAACTAGACAAACAACAACCTCTACAATATGGGCAGGTTCAACAACCCCCACTATACTAGTAACAGAGAACAATAACTAGACAAACAACAACCTTTACAGTATAGTCAGTTTCAACAACCCCCATAATACTTGCAACAGAGGACAGTTATTATCCCACCGAACGAAGTTCGAGGGGGATATATTAAAGCCGTCCGTCCGTCCGTTCGTCCGTCCGTTCTTCCGTCCGTCCGTTCGTCCGTTCGTGTGTCCGGGCAATAACTCAAATACCGGTTGACGGATTTCATTCAAATTTTATAGGCTTATGCCTTATGGGTGTAGGACCTCTGCTCGAGAAGGAATTTTCAATATGGCCACTTAATTCAAAACGGCGGCCATTTTTTGGAAAAAATATGATCTTTAATAACTCAAATACTAGTGGATGGATTTGGTTCAAATTTTATATGCTGTTGCCTGGGTACAAAGGAGCCTTGCTCAAGAAGACATTTTCAAGATGGCCACCAAATTTCAAAATGGCGGCCCTTTTTCGTAAAAATCTGTTATCTTTGATAACTCAAATACCATTGAATGGTTTTGGTTCAAATTTTAGATGCTGATGCCTAGGGACATAGGAGCTCTGCTCGAGAAAGAATTTTCAAGATGGCAGTTAAATTTCAAAATGGCGGCCATTTTTCGTAAAAAAACATTATCTTTGATAACTCAATTACCATTGAATGGATTTAGTTCAAATTTTACATGATGATGCCTAGGAACATAGGAGCTCTGCTCGAGAAGGGATTTTCAAGGTGGTAGCTAAATTTCAAAATGGCCGCCATTTTTCATTAAAAGAACGTAACCTTTTATAACTCAAATACCAGTTGACGGATTTGGTTCAAATTCTTTATGCTGATGCCTAGAGACAAAGAAGTTCTGCTCAAAAATAAATTTTCAAGATGGCCCCTGAATTTTAAAATGGCCGCCATTTTTCGTAAAAAATGTAATTAATGATAACTCAAATACCAGTGGATGGATTTGGTTCCAATTTTATATGCTGATGTTTAGGGAAAAAGGAGATCTGCTCCAGAAGAAATTTTAAAGGCGTTAGCTGAATTTCAAAATGGCTGCCATTTTTCATTAAAAAAGTAATCTTTGATAACCCAAATACCATTGAACTGACATTCTCTGCTAAAGAAGAAATCTAAAGATGACAGCTGAATTTCAAAATGGCAACCATGTTTCATAAAAACATAATCTTTGATAATTCAAATACCAGTGGATGAATTTGGCTCAAATTTTTCATCAAAACATGTTTTGTTCGGTGGGATTTGCTACTCCGTGGAGTTGCTGTTTTTCTAGTTTTACAAGATAAACAATCTGCAAGAGATAAAATATTTGTCTATGTGGGGAAACTTATAAGCAACATCGGCTCCTCTTGTCAGCCAGCAACTATTGTAATGTTGTCATTTCTGCATTTCTCGAAAATGATGTAATATTTGGATCAGATAATTCATTTGATTTGTGGAAAAAAGTAAACATCCACCTGTATATAATTATCTGGACTTATTTCACCTTCCTGAACAGCTAAAATTGTTATCACCTCACAATAAAAAGAGCTACATACCTTTTATATATAGATACTTATCTAAATACACTGAAGATTTTAATGTATATTTTATTGTATGTAAAACAGTGCAATTGATGTGTCTGTCTATAATTATAGTGTAAATAAATATACAAAAAGTACATGTGTAATTCACTTTGCATTTCATTATCCACTAATAAATATCCATTTTTAGTTCCAAAGCTGGTTTTCTGGTACATATTTTAAACAAGCTCGTTTCGCAAATCGCAATATACTAGTATGTTAACCAAAACTTGTATGACATATATCATATTCTTTAGAAGTAATGATACTGTAAATAGAATTCAAAATTGTAAGTATAGTAGTCAATAGATAGGAGTATGTTTCCCATTGTGCAGTTACACCAACGTGTAATCAAATGTAAGCTAAGCGGGCATCTGATGTAGACTACGTTCCATAAACATTCAGGTTATGAAAAATAGTGCACGCTTAAACTCCCTATTGTCTGGACATAGAGACGTCCGGATGGAGCCGTTCTCTATATCCCTGTATTAGTTCGATTGGATTATGATATCTATTGTTTTATTATTATCAGGGCATCATATCTCAAAATATACAATGAAGGGTTAGGACTAGAGATATGATATATCTCTTACTTCCTGCATACGTGCATTTTTCTCATTTTTCAAGTACTTTCAGGAGATGAGTGGAGTACTAGTATGTATGATAAACAAGGTATTGCGATTGTATTTGTTTATTGAAATGCAATGACAATGATAAACATAAGTTCTAGTCATTGGCCAGGATAGACAACAGGACAAGTATCTCACGGCAGAGCATGAAAAAGGCATACTAACAATACATAAAGATCACAATATTTTTCCAAAGTGACAGAAAAGGTAAGTTCATATTACCTTTTAAGCACGTCAGTTTTATTACAAAAAATTAATTCTTTGCTTACATGTATGTTCATGTTTTTCTTGATCGGAAGATTTGTACGCCTGCTATTAATTCATGAACATTCTCCAAAATATACCAAGAACATCCCGCAATATTTTTTCAACTCGAATATTTCGTTATGGCAAATAAGAATAACCTCTGTGCAATAGATAAATAATTTAAAGAAACCTCCACTTCTGTTTGAAGTCAAATAACGTTAAAAGTTTAATATTAAGGTGCAGTGGTACTAACAGGAAACGACCTGATCCTTGTGATCCTTATCCTGTAAATGATATATGGAATTATTTGAATTGACTGGAGGTCAAAACAACTCTGTTATCTTTGTTCAAAAAATGTCTAAAAATGCCTCTTTTTTGTCACTTCCTGTTTTGTCATTTCCTGTTTAGTACCACTGCACTTTAAAAAGTTATGAAGTTATTAAAAGGAGGCGTATTACACTCTGAAAAGTACGTTTTAAGTCACAAGTTGGTGTGCTACATGTAGCCTTTGAATTAGCAATCCCCCCCCATTTAGTCTCAAACAAGACCTTTGTGCTTAAAATCGTCCAAAATTCGTTCAGCCCTGAGCTTAAATCCTTAACCATAATCCTCATTACTTCATGTACTTTAAATAAACATTTTTCAAGGTGTCCAAATTCCAAAACAAGACTGGTGAATGATTCTTGGCTTCTCCAAACACAACTTCATCCTTATCGTTTATGAAAAAGTAATAGGCTAATTATATAAATTGTCGAGAACTAATTTTTACGAAGTATGATATGAAAAATTAACAAAATGTTGCTACTTTTAGAGCTAAAACTGAAAACAAAATACAAAATGGCTAACAGAAACAATAGTGAAGCTCCACCGCCATCATATAATGAATTATTTCCTGCCCAGTGTGGGCCAGAACGCACGAGTTTACCACAACTTAGAGGGGCAATTCCACCACCACTTCCGAACAGAAGAGAAATTGACCGGAGGGTCATTCCTACTGCACCGCCTGAAGAACAGTCAGGACATTTCAGCCTAGATATAAGAGCTGTGAGAAGCCATAATCGAAGAGTGTTCCCTGAGCCACCATCTCCAATAGAACTCCCAACAAATGATGAAGCAGTTCCTGCGCCATCTCAGAGAGAGCTCCCAACAAATGATGAAGTAGTTCCTGCGCCATCTCAGAGAGAGCTCCCAACAAATGGTGAAGTAGTTCCTGCGGCATCTGCGACGGAAGTCTCACGGAGCGCGACAAGAAAAAGTTCATGTTTCCAAAGAATTGATAATCTCTACGAGTTCAAACCACCATGTGAAAGACTAAAATTGAGTTTCGTTGTCAGAGCTATAATCGTGGTATGTAGGCTTAAGTCTGCCGTGGAATGTCTGTTGTGATGTCTTTAAAACATTCATACGTGTGTATTGACCATGTAACATTGACCTCTTTTAAATACGAGGACCTTGAATCTGAAACTTCTAAAATTTAAATAAATTTTATTTTCTTTAGGTAGCTTTGACCATCGTGATTTCTGTGTGTGTTGCCACAATAAAGAAACCCGGTATTTGCCAGAACTACTGTCCGGAAAACTGTAGATGTAGTGAAACAGTGGTGGATTGTAAAACCAAAGGCCTCACATCTATACCATCAAAGTTATTTAGCTGTACGCAGACGTTAGTTGATATCAGCGGAAATAACATCAAGAATGTTCAAAAACTTGCTTTTTCTAAGGCAAAACGAACTGAAATACTTTTACTTAACAGCTCGAAAATCATGACAATTTCAGAGAAAGCGTTTTATGGCCTTGAACAAATCGTGTGCCTAAACCTTTCAGATAATAAAATTCACACAATTACAGAGAAAACATTCAGTGGGATGAGTTTTCCAAGCGAGATGTATAGCAAATGTCACGAAATTAGAGGTCTTCTTTGGGATGACTGCTCCCTGAATTTAAGGTCAAATCCAATTCATGAAATCCAAAGAGGAGCATTTCAGAACAGTCACGGGCTTAGAGTTTTTATCGGGGCAAGTAGTGTGAGTATGCGTGTATCTACAGATGCATTCACTTCATGCAATGTTTATGAAATAGTATTTGATAGCATAAAAGACCTTCAATTTGCGAGAAACACATTCAACTCTAAAATACAACATATCGCGATACTGAATTCCGTCTTACCTAATTTTGTAAGTGAAACATTCAGCGGGACAGATAATCTTCAAAGCTTGTTGATATCAAAATGCATAATTGAAGAAATCGAGGAAAGTGCCTTTGGTGGCATGGCATTCAAGGTCGATTCAATATTCCCAACCAACATAACAATTGAGGATTCGGTTATCAACGACTCCTTTTCCGAAGATTGTTTCCAAGGGTCAGATATGAAAGTAATCTTAATTCAGAATAACCATATGGAAGGGTTTGACGCATTTACCTTTCAAGGACTGGCCTTAGATAAAATCATGATCATATCAAATTCAAATTGGAATCAAATAAATACAAATGCATTTTCTAACATTGGAAAAGTAAACCAAGGAATTCATTTCGAGGGAAACAATCTAAGTACCATCCAATCGGACTCCTTTAAATTATCCCATGGTATTAACACGATACGGCTGAGTAGACAGTCTTCTACCTTGACATTGAACTCTGGTGCTTTTAGAGAGATCTATGGTCTTGATAGTCTGGTGATTTCAAATTGTAGAATTGGCGAAATAGAGACCGGTGCTTTTGGTTCGATTAGATTTAATGGCCAGTCATCATTTACAACCAACATAACAATTGAGCGTTCACTTATCGAAGGCTTTTTTCCTCGAGATTCTTTCCAAGGATCTAATATGAAGCAAATCATTTTTTACATGAATCATATGAAAGGGTTTGAAGCATTCGCATTTCAAGATTTAGTTTTAGACAAACTCATGTTTACATTAAACTCTAACTGGACTCAGATAAATGCAAATGCATTTTCTAATATTGCAGAAGTTAGCCAAGGAATTCATTTTTATGAAAATGACTTCGCTGTTATCCAAAACAATTCATTTATGAAATCAAAAGGAATCGCAACGATAAGGTTCACCGGGCAAACTTCTAAATTGACAATTCTCTCTGATGCTTTTAATGGTATTTATGGTCTCGATAGTTTGGTGATATCAAATTGTAGAATTGACCAAATAGAAAGCAATGCTTTTGGTGGGATTAGATTCAATCGCAACTCAGGATTCTCAAGCAACGTAACAATTGAGCATTCACATATCGATACCTTATTCCCACGAGATTCTTTCTATGGGTCTAACATGACACAGATCATAATTCAAATGAATCGCTTGAAAGGGTTTGGAGCGTTTGTCTTTCAAGGCTTGACCTTTAACAAGCTCATGATCATGTTCAATACGAAGTGGAATAAAATCGAAACAAATACATTTGCTAACATCAAAAATATAACAGATGGAATATATTTCCAAGGCAATAAGCTATACGAAATTCAATCCGACTCTTTCGCAGATTCAGTAATTAAAACCCTTAAGTTCATTGATCAACCGACTATATTACACTTGAATCCTTATAGTTTCAGAAACCTGGAGCATACCAAAAGCATTGTTTTTGAAAATATGGCTAATGTCTATATAGAGAAATGGGCCTTCTACGGAATATGGTATTTTGGAACGTTATTATTCCAAAATGGAACGATGATTTCAAATTTTGACAGACAAGCAATTGATTTTTACCAGGGGAGCAGGGGAATACAAAATTTACAGCTTTTGGATTACCCCATACAGTGTAATTGTGACGCGAAGTATTTGGCAAAAAATTCTAAAATGAAAGATATAGACTTCACTATAACTTGTACGGATAAGGGTGAAAGTAACCACACTATAATTGTTTGTTCGGATATGATTGCTGATTGGCAACCTCCAAAAGCATCTCTGCCGATGTGTAAAGATGAGAGAAAATGTCCAAGACATAATAGGTCTGTTGCCAATTCTCTATCTTCATATTCAGTCTGTTTTGTCTTAATAATGTTGCGGTTATTGTAGAGCGTTCGTGTCAAATCCATATTTGAACTTGTAAGCTATGTAAATAATTTGTGCATGGTCCATTTAGTGTTTGTGTAGTTATGGACCCCATGTGAGCCACTATTGTAGAATTTTCATGTCAAATTCATATTTTTTCTTCTAAGCTATGTAATAAAATATACATTTATGCACGATCCATTTTACAGCTTTGTGTAATTATGGACCCTATGTGAGCCACTATTGTAAAACTTTCATGTCAAATTCATATTTTTTCTTGTCAGAAATAATATATAAATTTTTGCATGGTCCATTTAGCGTCTGTGTAGTTATGGACCCCATGTGAGCCACTATTGTAAAATTTTCATGTCAAATTCATATTTTTTCTTGTAAGAAATAATATATAAATTTTTGCATGGTCCATTTAGCGTCTGTGTAATTATGGACCCCATGTGAGCCACTATTGTAAAACTTTCATGTCAAATTCATATTTTTTCTTGTAAGCTAGGTAAATAAAATATACATTTAAGCACGATCCATTTAGTGTTTGTGTAATTACTAGACCCGATGTGAGCCACTATTGTTGAACCTTCATTTCAAATTCATATTTGTACTTATAAGCTATGTATATATAAAATATACATTTATATTTATTTGAGTTGTGTGCGGTTTGGAGTCGCTTGATCACTACTTTAACACAATATGTTATATCAATTATTGGGTTTACATGATTTCAACATAATTCTTACAGAAACATTAGTTAATCTATCTCAATTTAATACTATATTCTTATATATATTACAATAGACAATATATTTTATATATGTTTTTTACTTACTTTAGTTGCAGTACATTAACCTGTTCATTACTTTGGTTGGTGCTGGGGAGGCTGGTGGGCTTTCCATGGTATGAGTTCACAAACTGATTCCCGCCAGATGTAGTCACGTGACATTTCATCCTTATCACATGGTCTATATAAATTAACTCACCTATGAACTGGTGCCATCTATACTTCACTTACGGGATAGATTTAACTGTATGAATAAAGAGTGATCTGAGACAACTCCAAAACACATAAATATTTATATTTCATATAAGTCATTTATGCACGATACATTTAGTGTTTGTGTAATTACTAGACCCGATGTGAGCCACTATTGTAGAACCGTCATTTCAAATTCATATTTGTACTTATAAGCTATGTAATATAAAATATACTTTATGCACGATCCATTTAGCGTCTGTGTAGTTACGGACCCCATCTGTGCCAATATTGTAGAACTTTCATGTCAACTCCATATTTTTTCTTGTAAGCTATGTAAATAAAATATAAATTTTTGCATGGTCAATTTAGCATCTGTGTAGTTACGGACCCCATGTGAGCCACTATTGTAGAACTTTCATGCCATTGTATTTGTACTTATAAGCTATGTATATATAAAATATACATCTATGCACAATCCATTTAGTGTTTGTGTAATTATTAGACCCCATGTGAGCCACTATTGTAGGACGTTCTATTCATTTCAAATTCATATTTGTACTTATAAGCTATGTATATAAAATATACATTTATGCACGATCCATTTAGTGTTTGTGTAGTTATGGACCCTATGTGAGGCACTATTGTAGAACTTTCATGTCGAATTCATATTTGTACTTATAAGCTATGTATATATAAAATATACATCTATGCACAATCCATTTAGTGTTTGTGTAATTATTAGACCCCATGTGAGCCACTGTTGTAGGACGTTCTATTCATTTCAAATTCATATTTGTACTTATAAGCTATGTATATAAAATATACATTTATGCACAATCCATTTAGTGTTTGTGTAGTGTTGGACCCTATGTGAGCCACTATTGTAGAACTTTCATGTCAAATTCATATTTTTTCTTGTAAACTATGTAAATAATATATTAATTTTTGCATGGTCCATTTAGCGTTTGTGTAGTTATGGATACCATGTGGGCCACTTAGCTTAGCAAGGGATAATTTATCCTGATTCCTGAGATGGAGTTCTTGAAAGTCACATGGTGATTTTGACCAATGAAACTCCCGCCTCAGATGTACAAGAAGTACAGTATAGTATAAACAATAAGATTCGTGTGTTTATTTAAATTCACTATCTGTCTGTTCATGAATTCTTCATGTTACAATATAATAGTTAATTAATATCAATATAGAATTTATTGTTATACAAAATTTGATGAAATTTCCAAATTCAATCAATTCAATTCAAGTATTAATATTATAAATCTAAAATATTTCAATATGTCATGCATGAATTAAATATGTTTGATTTTACTAATATGCAATATTCATCAAGAAATTCTAGCGGCCTCCATAATGTCTTCTAACTCCTTAATTTCATCTGTAATTTTTGAAACATTTTTAATTTTCTCAAGTTGATTGTCTTCCAGTTTTTCACCATTTGCTTGTCTTTCTTTAAGTTTTTCAACTTGAGTGAGTTTTTTGTTTAAAGCACGGATTCGTTTCTCTGCAGTTGTGAGGTTGCTGCTACCTCCACCGCCACCCGCCCCCACCTCCACCGCCCCCACCTACCAACACACTTTCTGATGGACCTAGAAATAAAAAGACAAGGCATTAAAATGCAAAATGTCACCACCCACATTTGTTACAGACGCCATACACCAACCACCGAGCACCAACCGATGCCACGAAAAAGTTGAAGACTATAACAATATGTCACCACTTGTAGTACTTAGTAATGACATAAAAATAATACTTTGTTCAGAGACAATGTCTGTTGAGTGGGATCTTTTATAAATATGACCTTAAGGCAAGGTTTTTTATTTTTTACACTAAAATTGTAAAAAATGCGTCAAATTAAAAATATAACTAGAAAACCGCAACTCCACGGAGAAGCAAATCCCAACGAACGCTATATAACATATATGAATCTGTATTTTTCACAAAAAATACAAACATTAGAGATATATCAGAATTTTTGCCAATGTAAGCATTTGGGTGACCATTTAAGAGTGTTTAAGAGTGTTTTACATTTACTAATGCAAAATATCAAGGGGTAGCATAATAGTGCTCCTATCTGACACAGTCTCTTTAAGTACCTGTTATTTTCTCAGCCTTAGGTGCTTCTGAAACAGGGGCACTCTGTTGTAGACTACATAGGGGGAGGCTGTCAATCACTTTCTGTAACTCCTCCTCTGGAATATCTGTCCTACAAAAAAATTTTAAATTATCAACTTTAAAGCTCCATCACCATTTAGGCATTTTCAATTTAAAAAGACTGGTATTTGGAGGTATGGATATTTGGAGATATGAATATCAGAGTGAGACATCTTGAATCTTGCTAATAAAGGTTCTCTAGTTCTCTAGTGCAGCAAAAGATGTTTGTTGGAAAGTTATCTTGCTTAGTTTTTTTTACTATTGGAACATTTCAAGTTCCATGAATTCTGAGCTGTTGATGTTTTATTTGAAGAAAATCTTAAATATAAAATCAGATTTGAACTTCTGAAAACATGTAGATAATTTTGAAAAAAATTAAGTCAGTTTATACTGTATTTGTTAAGTTATTGGAAGTTGTAAGAATTTGTTACAGATGCCGATCGCCAACCACCAACCGCCATCAAATAAACGGAGACGATAACAATACATGTATGTCACCACTTTTTGGTGGTGACATAATCAAAAATTGAAAAGAAAGTTTACAGCTTAATCTAAATTTTGTTCAAAAATGAATGAATGTAACAAAGGGATTGGCTTTTCTTTTTTATTAGCTGCTTTTTCTCTAAATGAAATAATAACAGATATCTACTGAACAGTGAACACATGTACATATATATGACTCTTTATGTAATAAAGTTAGCATGTACGTTGTTGTATGAGCTACTTGACTAAGTGATTGCATGAGCACAACCCAATAGTGAAAGTGAAACTGTTGTATCCCAGAATGCATCAGCCATGTCTATTCAGGAACTTTAGACTATTTATGTTCTATATTATATATAATTCATATCTGCAATAAGTTAACATGCAGTAAAACCTGCGTATAGTGAACACATCTCTCTAGTGAACACCTATTAACAGTGAACGTTTTTATTCGGCAAAACCTTTTCTCCCATTGACTGCCATGTTAAAGTGCAATCCTATAGTGAACACCTACCAACTACGAACAGTGAACACTAAACCCTGGCAAAATCAATTGAATTATCCTGTCTCTAGTGAAAATTGAATCAGATAAGATTTCTTGCGGACTTTCTGCAACTGCCTTATCAGAGTTAAGCAGTTTATGTTTATATTACCTGCCAGAAATAATTAAAAGGTCAATTTGAGATCTTCTATTGAAACAGGTGTGACTAATTATAATTCTTAATAAGCTTTGTTTTTGTTACAAAGGATATGCGTCTGGGATTGATTGCTTGGATATAATCTGGTTAACTATTATTACCTCTATCTGCTGAGTCCCAACTAAATCTTTTTCTCATCCCGTAAATTTAAAAAACAGATTGGATCAAAATTATAATTCATGATCATTTTACTATTAACTGCATCTATCATGTCCTTTAACTAATTCAATAAAGTCCTTTAACTGACTCAAATGTCTCAAAAATTCCACTATTTAAAGGACCATGTTGATGAGATAAAAAGAATTATATAGAGATAAAAATTTGACAATAAAAGGATGAACCATTCAAATGACAGTCAGTGTAAAATAAGTCAGTTTGTATATAACATTACACCAAATCAAATACTTAACGCTTGAGTGTTATGGGTTAATATGGGTAGAAAATACAATTTAAATTGATTATTCCCTCCTCTCTTTTAATAGCTGGTCTCTTGATATAATACGGCAAAATGCCGCGAAATCAAATCATTGCTGTAATAAACACCTACCAACAGTGAACATTTTTTTCTTGGCAAAATATTGTTCACTATACGTAGGTTTTACTGTACGTCACTTTAATTTCAGAGAATAACTACAGTAGAACCTGTGTAAGTGGAACACCCTCCGTTCTGCCAAAAAGCGTTCCACTTAGGAGGTGTTCCACTTACGGAGGTTTGGGTTCGCGGGGATTTAAAGAACATACAAGATCAAATATAAAGGGTTTATTATGTATCACCTGAAATCTGATTCTCCATTCATTGCACTGTTGCAGGGCAGCCAAATACCATTAACTGTCCATTTGTTTTACTCAAAAAGGTATCTGACATTCGTAATCCTCCTCATTCTGCCAAAAATATTCTGACATTCTTAATCCTTCTCATTCTGCCATCAAGCACAAAGATTTGGCAATTAAGTTTTAAAGACTTGTTCCTATTGCTAATAATTCACTTGTAATTCAACTGACATTCTTAATCTTACTTATCAAGATTGAAACAAACAGCAAGGTGTATTAATTAGAGGTAGCATCACGTGTCCATCTCTACAGGAGTTTAATCCAATTTGATGAATGATAATCTTATGAAATCCTTATTTGCTAATTATCAAATTAATTAGTGGTAGCATCACATGTTGATCTCTACAGGAGGTTAATCCAATTTGCTATATGGTGATCCTAATTTGCCAATTATCATGTTATTACCTGTTTTCATACCCAGATATCACTGTAGAAGGTTAATTCTTTTTACATAAGTATCAATATTGAAATTTATGGAAAATTGACTGTTCCACTTAGCAGGTTAATTTTTCAATATGGGGTGTTCACTGTTCAAGTCTGGAGGTGTTCCACTTACAGAGGTTAAATTAACATTAAGTCAATGGGTTTTTAAAATGGGACTTTGAAAAAGCGTTCCACTTGCGAGGTGTTCCACTTAGCAGGTTCTACTGTATTTTTCAAATGAAAAAAATGTGCAAAAAAATATTAATTTTTCTTTGTAAAATTCTTACTTACTTTACTCCCCGTACAATGTCAGTAATAACCCATAGCTGATCTCTAAGTTTATTTGCTAGTTCACTATCCTGGAATTTAAAAAGCAAATGGTGAAGAACTAATCAGGTCTTACAGAACGGAAAAACTTTGGTCATCAATGTTTTATGTTTGGTAAATTAATCCACATATTTTGAAAAACTATGGACAAATGGTTTCATACTGGCCTTGTCAAAATGTCTATTCAATTTTCCATGCATCTTTAAACACTCTGGCCTAGAAAATGTTTTATTTGGCTATTTCTCCAGAATTGAAGTCTAATGTTTCCAATTTTTAGACTCCTCAATTTTTGATGGCTTTATTTAATTTCATTTTGTTAGTTTAAAGAATATTTTTATCTCAATATAGAATGTAATTTACAAGAATAATTTTCATACTTTTTTGAATTAGTATTTGAATCTATCGATTAGAAGGCCAAAAAATAATTATTTTTTTCCCTCAAGAACCTGAGTATTTCCAATATATAAAAGAAAGCCTCTTTTCATATTCAAAGACCCATGTTACATTTGGGCTCATTAAAATCTTATGAGGGCCAATTAAAACTGTCAAAGGGCAGCCAATAGGAATTGAGGATACCAATACATATAGACTAATGTACCTTGTTTGCTTTTGCCACAGCAAGTTGCTCTTTAAGTACAGGTAGCAAGTCTGCTGGGTCTAGTGAGACTCCTTTGTAAGTGTTGCCCTCTCCTTTCTTATTTTTGCGCTTCTTGTTTTTCTTTGCTGCCTTAGAAGCAAGATCTGCATCTAAAATATATCAAAAACCAGTTTTGTATATATAAGTGTGCTATTGGAAAATTCACAAAACTGCGCTCATTTCCTGGCTGTCAGTCCTGCAGTCCAATATTTTCATTATTGATGTTTCTGATTTGCTGACTGGAAAAATCGAACAATTTGATTGGCTCCTGAAGTGATGGCCCTTGATCACTAGAAGATCTAGTGGCCCAAACATTTTAAGGCCTAAATTAGTAGGTCTTCTTGTGCATTTCTGGGCCTTTGGGTACCTTATTTTAATCATATGGATCTAGGGGCCCAAAAATGATAACTGAGCATGAAAACTGGTTAATTGATGACCTCATTACAAAAATAGATGGCACTGACAGCCAATGCTTTAAGGACAGGGTGCATGTTGGGAAATTTTCTGCATTCCTCAATTGAGTCACATGTTATTTTTCAAACATGAATAACTCCTTCCCCACATTGTCTACATCTTCCAAGTTTGCACAAAGAGTGCACCTTTGTGCCTAGAAAAGCCTTGTGAGAAGGTTTGTTTTGTAAAATGTATAAAAAATGAGAAAATTCAGTGAAAAAAAATTCTGAAAATTTTCTGATTTTTTTCACTGAATTTTCTTGTTTTTTATACACTTTATCAAAACATTCTTCTCACAAGTCTTTTCTAGGCACATAAGTGCACTCTTTGTGCAAAACTGGAAGATAAAGAAAATGAAGAGAAGGAGTGATTCTTGTTTGAAAAATAACATGTGACTCAATTGAGGAATGCAGAAAATTTCCCATCATGCACCCTGACCTTAATTCCCTAACCCCGATAATTTACTCCATCGGCCATTTTGAATGGGACTTCCTATGCAAAAAATAATTTCCAATCCCAAATTTTAACATAAATGGGCTATAGTCTGAATATTTTCATTCCAAACTTCAAAAATTTTCAGACTAGAGGATATAGACAACATTCAAGGCATTACGATTGTGACTGACTAGGGCACAGTAGTAGTTGGAAACCTTAGTTGGAAACTAAGTAAGGACTGAGTCACCGGAAGAAGTATCAAGTCCCTATACAGAGAGGCCAGAGAGTGAGGACGCCAAAACCCCCTGGGAAAGGACCAAAAAGGACTTGATACAACTTCCTGTGGGCTGTCAGTGACATTCATTGTCAGATCAGACTTAGTCATATAAATCACTATCGTATGCTTTATTTGTCATTATTTTTTGATAATTTGGATATTTATTTTTTGTTATTTTCTTGCATACTAGGGACGCAAATGTTGAAAACAAAAATAAAAAACAAATATCCAAATCGTCAAAAAGAAACGTGAAACAACAACATTAAGGTTCAGCTGGAAAGTAACATTTTGGTAAAAAAATTGCTATACCTGCACATGTTATTTTCTGGTACAAAATTAAGTATCAAGTCATGTGTGTATTTCCTTGCTTTTTTCAGGAAAGGATCATTACACTGTCTATTTTTAGTAAACCTGGAAACAGGTCAATGGTAGTTCCTGTGTTGACTGAAAACTTTGAAAGAAAATTTGGAAAAATAGAAAGTGTGAAATATCGGAATTTCCTGGAGTTCCCATTGAACCCCTACCAGATATTCTAAAAGAAGACAATGTAATGATACTTTCCTGAAAAAAGCAAGGAAAAAGGTACAGCTGGAAAGTAACATTTTGGTAAAAAATTGCTGTACCAGCACATGTTATTTTCTGGTACAAAATAAAGTATGAAGACATGTGTCAATTGCCTTGCTTTTTTCAGGAAAGTATCATTACATTGTCTTCTTTAAGAATATCTAGTAGGAGTTCAATGGGAACTCCAGGAAATTCTGATATTTCACACTTTCTATTTTTCCAAATTTTCTTTCAAAGTTTCCAGACAACACAAGAGCTACCATTGATCTGTTTCTAGGTTTACTAAAAGTAGACTGTGTAATGATACTTTCCTGAAAAAAGCAAGGAAATACACACATGCCTTCATACTTAATTATGTACCAGAAAATAACATGTGCAGGTATAGCATTTTTTTACCAAAATGTTACTTTCCAGCTGAACCTTAAGTCGAGTTCACTTGACTAATCAGACTCAGAGATATTTTTATTGGGTCCATGTAAACTGCAACCAGACTACTATTGTTACTATAATTAATTGGCTATATAATAACAAACTGTAACCAATAAGAGCCAGAGTCACTGACTCACTTTTGCAGTTTGCACACTCAGGCCAGGGCCAACACTTTTTTGTTCTTTGTCTTTGAAAACTAAAAGTGGAATTACTGTTCAATGCTAATATGAAATAATGGTCCAAAATAATACATCACACTTTAAAAAGTTCATCGGTGCATTTGATTGTGGTGGAAGACCGTTACATTGCGATAAATCTTTTGTAGGAAAGAAAATAACAAAAAGATACTTTTACCTGCCATTTTTTCAAATTATGTCAAACTGCAATGCGAAATCATTCATCTTTAGAAAATATTTAGGGACCTCATTTCCATTATTATAGAAATTCAAACATGATTGTATACATGAAAATATAAAGTATTTATTATATCTCAATAATGGATTACATAGACTGCAATAATAACATATTGAATATAATATTTTTCACATGCTGTCAGACGTCAGACGGTCGAAAAATCCATTTATTTTCTCATTCGGCCGTATTCCTGAGTTTTTCAGCCATATATAATAAATTTGGTCTATGACTTATCTACACCTCCTTCCTTTCGTCAGAGAGCTGAGCAGAATCGTGTACAATAAAATTTTCTTCTGATTAATCCTCTAAATTTCAAAATGGTGGATGATTCGAAAAAATCTCATGACATGACAAGGCATTATATTTTGTAAACTTGACCATCATACTTGAGATTGTCAATTACATATATTAGGTTATGTGAAATTACATATGTTTAGATTAGTTTGTAAACTGGATTATCACATTTGAATCTGTTTATTTATAATTTTGGATATTTATCACCCATTCAAAAATTAAACTATAGTTCATTCATGGAATTCATGGAATTCTGGAAGATTCCTGGAACTCTGACGTCACTTGAACCAGGCCTGTCAACTGTCCCGCAATTTGCGTATTTGTCACGCATTTGCTGAAGAATTTGAAGTCACGCCAGTTTTTTTTGCGTGACACAAAATGTCACGCAAATACGCATTTTACATGGTAATTGTCACGCAAATATGTTTCTGTAAAAAATTTTTCAAAATATCTTTATGATACGGCAAAACTACGAACGTCGGAAAAAAACGAACGCAATTTGTTCGGATTTGTCACGCGAATCCCGTATTTGTCACGCATGTTCACTGGAAATTTTCGTACCTACCCCCCCCCCCCCCCCCCCCCCCCCCCCCCCCGTTGATGACATCGCGAGCGTAGCGAGCGCGAAAAATTTGAGGTTATAAAAGTTTAGCAAAGGTGCACAAACTTTGGCCAAAGGTGTTTAAAAGTTGGCCAAAGGTGTTCAAAATTTGGACAAAAGTGTTCAGATTTGGACTTCGGTGTCCAACATTTGTAAGTCACTCATATTAGGTGGTCCCAAGTTGACAGCCCTGCTTGAACAGAGGGTGAGAAGAAACTTTTCTCAAGAAAATGGCCGAGTTTCTTACTGTATTTGGATCCAATTTCGAGAATCTACCCATTGACTAGGCGAATATGCACACATTTGACTTCAAAAAATAAGTCATGTAAATATGAGTAAGTAGACCAAATGATTTTATTGAGAGATTTGAACTTTTTCTAAAAAATAATTTTTTGACTGTCGGACAGCATGTGAAAAATATTTTAGTTATAATTACAATTTCGTTTTTCTAAAAGTTGTGCTTTCATAGCTTCCGGGTTACACATTCTGAATTCTCAATGCATGATTTTACCTTTACCACACTCTGCTTGTCTCAACTAAATGTATCTTTTTAATTGGTTCATTAACTCATACGGAAATATTTAATATATGAAAGATGGTTTTGCATAAAAATAAATAACACAAATAATTGGAATGTGTTGTCTATGCCTTGTTACATTTAAGGAAATAAATCTTACAGTTTATTTTGAAATACTCTTACTATAGATTGTCAAAGGATTATTCATCATAGTATTTTAAATGAACGTATGTTCTTTCTGATTTCTAGGGCAAGTAAACTTTGGAGACCGTTGTTTTGCAATACTAAAATACCATAAAGCGGATGAATATAAATAGTTCAAGCAGGTGCCAAGATGGCGGACATTTTTCAGGAAATGATCTGATCTTTCTGAGAACATTTTGATGAATCACGAGAAATCCATATGACTAACTTCATATTTTAGACAGCCTACGGAGACGTAACAAACCAGATATTATAAAATACATATAAAAATTACTGATGGATTGATAAAAGGTCAGTAACCATTTGTTTTCTAATGAGATTTTTGATTTTCGATTTTTTTTCAGGAAATCAAATGACACATCTCATCTAAAATGTTTCTATTTTTGTGTCATTCCAAAAGCAGTAACAATAATTTGATAGTTTATAGTGTCAGGTAATTGAAAGAAAAGGTTGAGACATTGAATTGTGAAAACCTACTTTGTTAAAGTCCATTTCACTGCTTCATTTCGTCAGTAGAACGGCAAAAATAAGAAATTGGGAGACCATTGTGCAATAATATATGGAAAAGTATATTCATAATGTACATGAATGACATTTGTATATTTCAGATTTTTTAGTTTTTTGTGCAATTAGCCTGTGCCGTCTTGTAATTTGAAGAATTTCAGCCATGTTAATCTTATTGAAAATAACATGGCAGAGAAACATCCAAATATAAGTGGCCACACACTTTATAAGCCAAACTAGAAGCAATCCAAAATATACAAATGTCATTCATGTACATTATGAATATACTTTTCCATATATTATTGCACAATGGTCTCCCAATTTCTTATATTTGCCGTTCTACTGACGAAATGAAGCAGTGAAATGGACTCTAGACCAATGGTTCTCATCAGTAAAAATCTGATTCCATCATTTCATGCATCGCCACTCCCATGTACAGTAGGGGTCCTCCGTCGAACCTTGACATGAGGAAACTGCGCCATGGGGCTATTTTGTCATATTCTTATAATTTCAATCTACATATTCCATGTTTGCTTTTTAAAATTGTGTGGGATCTTATTCTAAGATGGTTGAACTGGCAAATTGTAATTATCGGTCATGGTCGAAATAACATGGTGGAAGTAGCCTGATAAAGTTACCCAATATGCCAAATTCAAATTTCAAAGTAATTTCTCCAAATGCTTGTCATCGATTGTAGACAGTACCCAAAAATGAATATCTTTCTTGTTTTCAGACTTATTTAGCTTGGTTTTAACCTGGATGGATTTTCCTTGACTCTTAAGCCCGGTTTCAATAAGTTCAATCATTCAATGCATGCATCATTTCCTCTGTTTCAATGCTTGTGTGATTTTGAGCATTTCAATCGATTCACCTTCAAAAAAATGAAAAGTACCACTGTTTACCCCTGTTTTGCTGTTTCAAGCATTTCAATTACGCGACCAATTTTAGGGGAAAACAGTGAAACGATTGAAAAAAAGGAACACAAACATTTCTCGTTTCTAGCATCTCGCCAAGTCTTTTCAACCGTCTCAATCATTTCAGTCGAGACATCTTGGAAAATGAAATTACAGTTTTGCTGCTTGTGCTTATTTCGCTGAGCTACTTTCACTTTCATTTCAAGCAGTTTGGCCATTATGCCCTCATTTCAAGTATTTCGCTTGCCAGTATATACAGGGCATTATACACAGTATTTCTTCTTCTGTTATTCTAAATGTTTATATTAAGCAATATTGGCAAATAACTTTATGATCCCCTGGTTAACTCCCCTGGTTAACTTTGCGATGAGTTGTCATATGATCATGACCTTCACATGATAACAACTTAACAAGGAGCAGTGTTTTGATTAGTGTACTCATGGTCACCCTTTTGCAAAAAAAACATGTAATATTGATTCCAGTCTGATCTTTTTTAATGTAAGGATACATTTTTTGCCAATGGAGACTCCCTTAATTTTTGTTCATTGAATAAGACTACAGTTTGGGTTGATTAAGTAGTCGAGGCCTTATGTGATGCAAACCCTTCTGAGGTTTCATTAACAGCGTCCTTCAATGGAGAGGACGTAAATCAAGATTGGGTGGACGTAAATTAAAAAAATAATTACGTTTTTGGGACGCAATTTGAATTTCGTAAATCAATTCGTAAATCCACTTACCTTAGTTTCTTTATTTCGTCAGAATCCACTAAATAATTGAAGGAAACTCTATTTCTAAAAGAAATAAAATTTTCTTTTGAAGTTTCCTTCCCGGAAGTTGATTTCTGATCGAAATAGTACGAGGCATGTGATAGGACAAATAGTTATCCAATACTCGATATCTGAGCAGTAATCAGTACAAGTTTTACAATTGGTCGCTAGCTGAGGATCCGATTCAAACCATTTTCTATTGGTCAAGTGCGATCACAAGATCATTAAGATCACAAGATCATTGTGATCGCACTTGACCAATAGAAAATGGTTTGAATCGGATCCTCAGCTAGCGACCAATTGTAAGACTTGTACTGATCACTGCTCGTTATTTAAGAATGCGCATGCGCAAGAAACTGAACCAAAAAATTGAACCTCGCGCAGATTGCCCCTAAACTAAAGCAAAATCAGTCGCTAATTGCTTCGAAATACGCAAAGAAAATGTGTTTCTAATTGTTGAATATAAGTTATACCTCACAAGTGATGGTATCTGTATCTAGACTCGCCAGAACACTGATTTAGACCGATAAATAGCAAAAGCGATACAAAGTTTCATAAATCTTATTTTGGTTAGTCTAGTGTAAAAGCGTGACTTTGAATTCTCGGGAACATATTTTCAAGGGACGCAGATTTTTGAGGGGAGACACATTTTTTGAAAATCTTTACGTCCCAGGGACGCAATCTTGGACAAATCTACTGAAAACACTGCCCTTCCATATAAACAAAGCTTTTAGTAAAAATGCTTCATAGTATTGTCTGCTGTGTTATATGTACCAATGTTAGGAAAGTGATATATTTATTACTGACATCTGTTTTTATGTTTTTTTTCAGGATATGGTCAACATGGCTGAAGTACAAGTAGTGGTTGCTAAATATGACTACACAGCTTCTGGAGAAGAGGAGTTAAACATTAAAAAGAATGAGAAACTTACAGTTCTCGATGACTCAAAAGCATGGTGGAAAGTCCAAAACACTTTTGGTCACACTGGTTTTGTCCCCTCCAATTTTGTTAAAAAAACGAAGCCGTCTATATTGAGTACACTGAAGAACACGCTTGGACGTAGGCGTGGTAGTGAAAATAAACTGAATACATCATCGCATAGCAGTACAGCTCGGTCCAATGGACAGGACTCGGGTAGATCTAGTGAACAGTCGAGTTTAAGTGGCTTTGGGAACGTTGTTTGTGATAATATACCAGCCACAGCCAAATATGCATATGACGCAAGACAACCTGATGAGCTTAAACTTGCAAAAGGAGAAAAAGTGTTTGTTACTGAGAAGTCGTCCGATGGTTGGTGGAAGGGTACCAAAGAATCAGGTGATTCAGGATGGTTTCCATCAAATTATGTCGACGAACTTACAGAATCTAATATGTACGAGCATCCAGCTGACTCATCAGATCAAACTGAAGATAAATTGGACGATTCTTCTCAACCAATCGAAACTGTTCGCACCCTATATCAGTTCTCGACCACAAACCCTGAGGAATTAGGGTTTGATAAAGATGAACATTTGGAAATATTGGAAAAGCCAGAAGGAGATCCAGATTGGTGGCGAGCTCGTAATAAGATGGGCGAAATAGGACTAGTACCACGTAACTACGTGGAAGTGATAAGTGGGAGTTTTACTCAAAATAGCAGAGGTTATACTCAAATAACATCGCAAGCTTCTGGAAGTTCGCATTCTCAAACAAATAGCTCTGCTAGCTTAAGTTGCCACTCATTTGATTCAGCGTCTGCATCTCAGTCTGCGTCAAATCCTAGCTCCTCCCCTCTTCCTGTATGTACACCTACCAGTACCAAGGATCCATATAGGTACAAGTACAAACTGGAGGCATCATATAAGGACAGAGACTGGTTTTATGGCAATGTTAAAAGAGCAGATTGTGATGAGCTTCTCAATCAGTTTGCTGAAATGGAGGACTTTCTTATCCGATCAAGCGAGACAAATGTAAGTCAATCTTGCCTTTACACAACTTTGGTTTTACATTTAGGCTTGTATTTTATATGCTTGTACGAGTCAGGTCTGTATCCACCTTTTGCCAAGGTGGGTTCACATTTGACAACTTTGGTCAAAATTTGAGAGATGCTCAGAACGATGAAAAACTGAATGATTTTGAAAGGATTTGCTCGAACCCCTGAATCCCCCTGGCTACGGACCTTAGTTATAAGTCACCTAACTATAATGATTAGAATGCATGATTTAAGTATCCAAACATATCCGAATGACTCAGCTTAAGGTAGGCTTTCTTAATGTTGTAGGCTGTCATACTGATGTCAAAGACAGACATCTGTTAAAGTTGTAACATCACTTACTCGTCTCACCTTAATGTTGTTCTGCACTTTCACATACAAGTTGGGAAGATTTTATTTCAACATTTAATCAAAATATTTTGGTAATGAAACATCTACCATGTCATGTTAATAATATTCACTTAAAATGAGAAAAACAACTTGTAATGAAAAACAAGAAAATTACATTAAATTGTTAAACGAGTAGGAAGGATATTGAAATCATAAGAATTCATATTACAAACTTGATTCACTTGATCCACCTTAAGGATTGTGTCCAACATTCGACAGCTGTAGAAAAATAAAGTAAATTTTATCATTAGAGTTGTCACGGTCCAAAAAGATTTCGGTTCAGTATGGAACGGTACAAATGGTCTCAGGACACGGTACTTTCTGGACGGGACAGGACATTAAAGAAAAATGATGCAATGTCTGATGATGGCAGTTTCACTTTCAGTTTCACTTTTCAATATTTAAAATGAAAGACAAAGTTACATTTTACAATTCCATCAAATGAGAGGGGGTCAAACTATATTGAAATTAACTTCAGTTTTCCATGACTGATGATAATTTGACACCATTCCTAACCTAGCTTTAATCATTTGTAAGTTATAAATGCACATGATTGCTGGCATCCTAATGATATGAGCAATCAGGCCATGAAATGTGTGTGGGATTACATTTGTGGCAGACTAGTACCAGTGATCTCGACAGCATTAAAGCAAGTGGGTACACCCACTTGATATTTTAACAACAGAGATACACCCACCTGGAAATACATTTGCACCAACTTGAGAATGAGAAAAATCATTAAAAATAGGCATATTTTGACAAAATTTGGTCTAAATTATGGAAATAAGAATTTTGCACCTACTTGAGATAAAATCTTCATTGAGTACATAAATTATTTTAGATTTTAAAAGCTACAATGTGTATTGCATATAAAAAATGATCAAATATGAAAATATATTAGTTATATGACATATATAGTTATATAAAAAGTGTATAGACGATGCCCAAAACATGAGCAAATATGTAGGGTAAACCCCAAAGAAATACTAAGAATGAATACTGACACCACCACCCAAATTCCTTATCAGAGTAATTGTTGTTTTAAGGAATTTCGCAACTCTTCCTATATAAAATAATATGTCCATTAAATTTCCTCATTCTCACTTTATTCTCCTTTTAAAGGTCAATTTGTTAATCTTGATTTAGCTGGCTAATTTGTGTTTTTGGCTCACACACTTCAGCCTATGTTTCTATATTTAGCTGATATAATTGGACCATCTTGATGGTAATATGATCTCTACCAAAAACCTTCCTGGTGATCTCATACCATGTTGAAATTAAAGTCCAACATATATTATCTAACCATACCAGGTCATGATCCAGATACATGGCTACATGCTCTAACTATATACTTGGCGTATACAGTAAAACTTGTCTTATATGAACAACTATGAACATGGCAAAAAAATGTTCGGATTGACAGTGTGTCAATATTTGATTTTTTAAGTCAGTGGCAAAATGAATAGAAGGATTGAATAGGGGTTTGCAATTTCATACTTATTGAGATTGAAGTGAAAATTGAAATAATATGGGGGAAGGATGACCAAGTGAATATGATTTCAATATAGGGATGACCAGGTGAATATGATTTCAATATGGGGATGACCAGGTGAATATGATTTCAATATGGGGATGACTTGGTGAATATGATTTCAATATGGGAATGACCAGGTGAATATGATTTGAATATGAGAATGACCAGGTGAATATGATTTCCATATGGGGATGATCAGGTGAATATGATTTGAATATGGGAATGACCAGGTGAATATGATTTCAATATGGGAATGATCAGGTAAATATGATTCCAATACGGCAATGACTTGGTGAATATGATTCGAATATGGGGATGACCAGGTGAATATGATTTCAATATGGGGATGACTAGATGAATATGATTTCAATACCATAATGACCAGGTGAATATGATTTCAATATGGGAATGACCAGGTGAATATGATTTCAATACCGTAATGACCAGGTGAATATGATTTCAATACCATAATGACCAGGTGAATATGATTTTATTATGGGGATGACCTGGTGAATATGATTTCAATATGGGAATGACCAGGTGAATATGATTCGAATATGGGGATGACCAGGTGAATATGATTTCAATATGGGAATGACTAGGTGAATATGATTCGAATATGGGAATGACCAGGTGAATATGATTTCAATATGGGAATGACCAGGTGAATATGATTTCAATATGGGAATGACCAGGTGAATATGATTCAAATATGGGGATGACCAGGTGAATATGATTTCAATACGGGGATGACCAGGTGAATATGATTCCAATACAGGAATGACTTGGTGAATATGATTTCAATACGGGAACTACCAGGTGAATATGATTCCAATACAGGAATGACCAGGTGAATATGATTCCAATACGGGAATGACCAGGTGAATATGATTTTAATATGGGAATGACCAGGTGAATATGATTTCAATATGGGGATGACTAGATGAATATGATTTCAATACCATAATGACCAGGTGAATATGATTTCAATATGGGAATGACCAGGTGAATATGAAATAATATTTTGTTTTGTTAAATTGACTGTCTGGTAGGGTGATATGTGGCACTAAAACACAGTCATGTATGTTCTAAAGGGTTCACATGTTATGTGTTGTATTAATATTGCTCGTCTCAATCATTGATCTGATTAGATTAAATTGTGCAGCCTGAGGTGCTCCTATGTTAAATATAACAAGGTAAATGGGTCATATCTACATACATCAGCAGTTCAACACAGTTTCCCATACAGTTTATGTTTAATATCACACATTTGAGGGAGACATGTGTCTACTATATAAATGAGTCAACCAAAAAATTATAAATCACAACATTAACCATTCCAACCATGACAAATTCAATATAAGATCTATTTAGAAACTTGATCAAATGTAGAATTAGATCAATAGGGGGTGACAAAATTGCATTAGATCAATAGGGGGTGACAAAATTGCCATTAGATCTATAGGGGGTGACAAAATTGCATTAGATTAATAGGGGGTGATAAAATTGCATTAGATCAATAGGGGATGACAAAATTGCATTAGATCAGTAGGGGGTGACAAAATTGCATTTAGATCAATAAGGGATGACAAAATTGCATTAGGTCAATAGGGGATGACAAAATTGCATTAGATCAATAGGGGGTGACAAAATTGCATTACATCAATAGGGGATGACAACATTGCATTAGATCAATAAGGAGTATCAAAATTGCATTAAATCAAGTACAATCGAGCAACACAATCTCTAATATGATTTCTAAAAAGATCCACGTTAATTTGCATATTATCTAATTTGCATAACATACTATTTCCAGGTGGGAGACTACACTGTAGTATTAAAGGCATCTCCAAGAAATAAATATTAATGCATATTAACTAATTTGCATATTATCTAATTTGCATATTATCTAATTTACATATTATCTAATTTGCATACTATAATTTTTCCAGGTTGGAGACTACACTGTTGTACTAAAGGCATCTCCAAGAAATAAATATTAATGCATATTAACTAATTTGCATATTATCTAATTTACATATTATCTAATTTGCATACTATATTTTTCCAGGTTGGAGACTACACTGTAGTATTAAAGGCATCTCCAAGAAATAAATATTAATGCATATTAACTAATTTGCATATTATCTAATTTACATATTATCTAATTTGCATACTATATTTTTCCAGGTTGGAGACTACACTGTTGTACTAAAGGCATCTCCAAGAAATAAACACTTCCGAGTACAAACTGTAGATCGTCAGTTTTGTATCGGACAACAGACATTTGACACATTGGATGACCTTGTATTGCATTATAGCACCCATCCTATATTTCGCAATGACGTAACAAAACTTTACCTTAAAAGGCCGTTCCGGCACCCGGATGATTCCTGAAAGATATGAGAGTGAGCAATCATGCGGAAATTGGCCAAATAGTTTTTTGTGACGAGTGATCATAAAAATTTGTTTTATTTCTTCGATTATGTCGTAAAATTTTTCAGCTTTAAAGGTATAAATATGTTCTTTCTTGAAATAAGGAAATGATCAAATCTTCACATTTTAATAATTATAAACTGAACATAAAAAGCAAATCTTTTCACATGCGCAATATGAGAAAAATAAAAAGTCTCGTGATTCTCTCATCATCCTGCAAATAATTATGATAAAAATATAATTTGATTACTCCTAGTAGAGTCTGGTCCTAGAAGTAGATCTCAGAAAGCAAACCAGGAAGTGGATATCAGATATATCCTTTAGAAGAGTGGGAGGGGAGTCACAATGGCTGAGAGAATGACTCACATGCCAAATATCACCACTCGACAGAAACATAATGAATTTTCATGATCACTCTTGTAAGAGAATATGGACTTTGTTTGCAAGTAAAAATATTGTAGCAATATAATGCGGTTAAGAGTTTGTAGAATTTGATATGTGGACCTGTGGATAAACTGTCATCGTGAACATGTCTTGAAATGTAAAATAAGGTAAATGTTAGAGGAAAATACAGAAAACATGGGCTGAGGCACTATCGAAATTAGGTGAGGCAAATTAAGATAAGGTGAGGCAAATGGCAGATTGATGAGGCAAATTAGGTTAGAAGTTATACATGTAGTACCAATATTGGGCTTTTTCACAGTTTCAGTTGAAAGAATACCTGAATGTTTAATTTTCTGAAAAACTCAGGTATAGTCTTTGCCATACCTACCCCATGTTTGAAGTCTAGTGTCTCATCTGTGTCTCATGCCTCACCTGCCAAATGCCTGTGACCCAGTGATATCTCAGCATTACAGCAAGTTGATGCTGCGCCCACTTGAGATTTTCAAAGGAGGCTTGCACCCAACTGAAAACCTATTTGAACCCACTTGAAAATGAGACAAATCATGAGAAAATTATTTTGACCAACTGTCTTAATTATGAAAATACTTCCATAGGCTCGAGAAAAATCTGGAGAACACTATAGTAATTATATCAGAATAATAATAATGAAGCCTGAAAATTCAAAGTTTATTTAAGAGAATGTGTGAAGGTGACATTTTGTACATAGGAATATGCGCAACAGCTTTACCAATGTAAGAACAATACTGATGATCATAAAACTTACAAGGAGTTTTACATGGGGATAAATTGGCAAGATATTATTTTTATTAAGACAAAAAAGCTTAAAGCTATGTACCTATTATGGCATATTCATAGTAAAAGATTTCAAGTACCTGTTCATTTGAATTAAAGGATTGTTAAGTTCCAATGATTTATAGAAATACCAATATACAACATTTTAACTAGTTGGTGTAGAAAAAGTTGAACTGTGTTTAACGAGTATACAGTAAAACCTTTTTATGTGAACACCTTCGAGTGGAAACCTCAAAATATGAGCATGAATATGGAAATACCTTAAAATGTGAACATTTGAAAATATGAACTCCTGAAATTGTAAACATAAAATATGTGAACATCTGAAAATATGAACACCTTTGAAATGGAACACCTAAAATATGAACACCTAAAATGCTCTAAATGAACACTTTCGATGTTTAGTTGTTCTGAGCTTTGATCACTTAAACTTTTATATAGTGTTTATTATAAATCAGTATAAACCAAAAATATGTACTTCCAATTGGATATAGGTGTTCCAGATACAGTTTAACTTGTAAAGTGGAACACCTCTATAAATGGAACATCTCTGTCATTAGTACACTTCAGAGTCCAAAGACCAATTGATTTGATATGAAATGAACCTCTATAAGGGGAGCACCTCTCAAGTGGAACATTTTTTAGAGTCCCAACTCCAACTGACTAAATGTTAAATGAACCTCTATAAGTGGAACACCTTCCAAGTGGAACAATTAGAGATATCAGAGGTGTTCCACTTAGACAAGTTTTGCTGGAGTAGTTTCAAGGTCATTTATACCTCATCAGTATCAAAACTGTATACTAGTACAGTGAAACCTGTTAAGTGGAACACCTCCCAAGTGGAACACTTTTTAGAGGTACCAAAGGTGTTCCACTTAGACAAGTTTTACTGTACTAGGCATGTTTTACTGTAGTAGTTTCAAGGGAAATGAAGGAATAGTATAAAACAATGGTAAGCATTCACTTAGATAGGTTTCACTGTATATGATAATTGTTGGATGGTTTTTGCCGTAATCTCATGTAATTTATTGCCGAAGGGTTGTTTTAATTGTTCATACAAGCATACATTTATTTAAACTAATTTTGTAGTCATTGCCTTCTGACACCAGAGAAAGTTGCATTGTTGCACGCGACAACTTCCCGCAACGTTCAGTTCAGAGTGCAACTTTTAAAAAACAGCAACTTTCTGTGGTTTCAGTGCATATATGATAATTCAATATAAACACTGTACTGTAAAATAGTTTCCAAATAATGTATCAGTTTTAAAGTTATCTGTATAAACAAAGTGTTATGTCAAGTCTTTGTGCCCCTCAGACATCAGAACTTGTTCCTTATAGGCAATAGGGACATGGAAAATTATATACGGTATGTAAAATGTTTTTACTCTAATTTTATATTTTATGTTGTGAAATAAGGTAAAGAAAACTTGGTAAAATAACCATTGACATAATATTATTTTCATATGTAATTTTTTTTAGTCAGGTCATAACCTCTATCCTCTTTTTACTTACACCATTGTTAAGGTTGGGGGGGGGTGATGATTCAACTTTTAAGTCTTAAATGTAAATCCAATATCATTAGCAAAACACTTGAAAACATATGTCTGCATTTTTGAAAAAATGAATTTATTTCATTATGGTTGATATTCAATTCAATTTTGAGAGATTACTGTAAAAGTGGTATTTAATCCTAGTGCTTAATTTTCCAAATGGTCAAATTTCATCATTTTCCTAATTTTAATTTTCCTAATGACAAGAAACTTCTCATTGGATTGCATTATAAAGATAATATTTCCAACATTTAATTTTCCAAACCTGGCAAAGATTAGGCAATAGGCAAATTAAATGATTAGGCTAAATTACCACTTATAAAGTACAGAAGAACCTGCTAAATGGAACACCTCTGTAAATGGAACACCTCAAAAGTGGAACCATGTGTTTTAAGTCACATGACCTATCTCCTCATGTTAATGAACCAATGTAAGTGGAACAGCTCCCAAGTGGAACACTTTTTAGTGGTCCCAAGGGTGTTCCACTTACAAGGGTTCTACTGTATCTTCACTAGAATTACTTGCGTCATGTTTATTATTATCTAGTGACAGCTGTTGTTACATTTAAAGCATTAATGCCTAGTGAAGAATTGGACTGTTTTGCCTGAAATTTTACAGAATTGCCTGAAATGTTAAACTTTTGCCTGAAATATTATAGAATTGCCTGAAATGCTAAATTTTGCCTGAAATATTACAGAATTGCCTGAAATGTTACTGTTTTGCCTGAAATACAAACATTGCTTGATTATATAAGAAAGCTTGTCTTATATTTTGTTGGGAGTTAAATAGTTTTTTTGCATCAAGACATTGAACCCCTACCCCGCCACTCCTTGCCATAGCTACAAGGAAAGGTAGGATTATAAGTGGGGGAGGGGTCAAAAAGTCACTGAACCCTCGACCCCATCTCTCCCTGCCATAGCTACTTTAACACCTTGTGAAGGTTGGGTGTTCAGGTGGGGGAGGGTTCACAAAGTCATCATGCAAGAGAATAGTTAATGAAAACCTGTAAAGAATCCTTACACTTTATTACTGTAAAACATGTTAAATTCATGAACACAATTCCCACAAATTCCTGCTAGAATTCCATTATCTCAAGATGAATCCGCTACTTTCTAGATTTGCAACATGAAAAAATCATGAATCCAGCCATCAGTGAATTAAACATGTACACGAAGAACAATACAGTATATACACTTTTTATTTTATTCTGATGTAAAACACCATGGAAATTCTTTCATTCATTAAATATTCAATGATAACGTTGATCTTTCATGTAGGATCACAATTTGTTTCTATAGGGGCTTGGTACATTGTAAGGCTGTGAAAATAGTGAAAATGTTAAGCATATTTCCAAACAATTGTAAAACTCCATAAGAAATAATGTCTTTGGCGATTTATGGAAATTCTAGAATATGTATGGTGGTCATTCATGCAGTTCATCACTTGTAACTGAGTAGTAAGTTTCAAAGTCCTTAACTTGAAACTGTTTAGTGTGTGACATGCATGTAGTTGGTCACTTGTGACTGATAATATGTTAAATAGATGGCACTGTTATATCGGATATACTCATTTGAAACTGTGCTATAAAATAAAATGGTTACATTTAACCATGTAGAATGTTACTTAGGTAATTTGTATTCCTGTTAATATGCCAGTCGCTTGTACACCCCCTGCAATAAGTTTGGCAATAGAAAGTCCCCCTTTGGTTCAACTATCAACGTCTGTTTATATTTGGTGATTTAGAAAAAATCATCAAATTTGTCACAAAGCTGAACTACAAGGGTCATCCAAAAAGTATTGCTCATTATTTTCTTACTAGATGTATTTGTGCAAAACCTTTTGAACAACCCTTGTATTTTAATTAATGAATAAATTTAAGATTCAAACATCAACAGGGTTTGCTATGCTATCAAATGAAAACTTGGGGTTATCAAACTTATAAAGGGGAGTGTAACTATTTGTATGTTACATGGATATTAACTTGCAAATGTCTAATATGTTACATAAAGTGTCACATTATTCACATTATCATGTCACGTTATCGTGTCACATTATTCTGTTACACATAGCTGCATGCCTTTACATCGTTGGAGAATAAATCACACTTTGCAATACATTTTGTGTGATGTTTTTGGAGAAAATAAGGGAAATACTAAGAAACCATATCAAACTCGAGGCATACAGCGTCTCTCGGGAGTCGCCCGGTGTAAAAGGGTAGGAGGTCCTATCAAATTATGGTCCTACTTTCCATTGATTTATATGGTGACCTAAATACAACTCTCCCTAATTATCGTATCCACAATCAGGGCCAGTAAGGGCCTTTAAGAAAGGGGACCATAATCCCCAGGTGACCATAATTTCGTTTACACTGGATTTCTCCCCGGACAGTTAGTGATGTCCAATAATAATCGCTCATATAATATCTTCCATATCCTAGATACATCTTGACACCAAATTATGGGCACAGTATCACCGAAATATTGAGAGAATCAACCGAACAACTAACATAACAAACGCAATTAGTTTTATCTATATTTTAAAACACTTGAAGTAATAAATATGACTTTAAGTGTCATGCAGAAAAATATCAGGATATGTATTGTGGTGCAAAAATGAAATAAAAAAGAATGATGGAGAGAGCGACCTTACGTAGATACAACCAACCGAACGCATAGATAAAATAAATTACAGAGACGTAATACGTTACATCGTGGAGAGCGACTATATATTTAGACCGCAGAGTGACCAACCATAAATGCAACCAACTGGCCGCATGAGCACAATAATGATTTATACGATTTGCTAGAAAACTATCTTTGGACCGTCTTGCCATGATACGCTTCATGTAGTTTCACAGTCACCGTAGTGTTGGACACAAACAAATGAGGATTTTGATTAATGAATAGTGTCCTCGATTCGGTGTTTTTCAGTCATTCATTCCAGTCCAACTATTACGGATTGATCAAATCCATAACCCCATGCAAACAATCCCAATTCCTTTATCACAATCTCCCAATTTATCTTAATAACACCTTAATCTTTGATGCTCAAGCAAAAGCACTATACCCCCTTAATTAAACCCCGGTTAATATTCCAACTCCCGATTTAACCCCTCCCTCGGCTCATGACCAACTGAGTTTGTTTGTTGGGTTTCATATTTCAATCAAAACAATGTAGGGACGTTTATTGATTTCTCCAGTTTGCCAAGTAAATTACTAACCGAAGACAGAGATATCTCAGAAGATAACATTGGTAGGCCTATGTAGGTCGATTGCTAATTAAATTAAACGTCACTTTTTTATTTTCTCACTGAATGAGCTAGCGATGAGTGTAAATGGAGTGAACATTTTATCTACACTCCCCTCCATAAGTTTGGCAACCTTTTTTCCACCATTGAACTACGTGTTAAAGCCTCTTTACCTTTGAATTTTTATTTACTTAACCTGCGATGAAAATACTTATACTATTGATGGAAACGTAATTTGACTTTAATTCCAATACCTCCAAATTTTCTCAATTTTTTTCCTCAATTACAGTAGGTCGAAAATTGATGATGAATTTGATGAATTTTTGAAAATCGACATTCCCATGTTAACCAATGGGAAATGGTAGGTTTGCCGCAAGTCATATGACAGAATATCCATCCATCCGAGTCCTTGCAAAAAATACGAGTTAGGCAGGTAATTGAATTTGCTAACTTTATTCAACAAAAAATTGATATGTTTCTTCAGGTTCAACAAAGTTATAGGGCTTTAAAGTCAAAATTGTTTTTCAAAAAACCTCTCCCATTGAAATAACACAGGAGGCGAAAAATTCTTTTCAAAAATGACTTTGAAGCGATGTAACTTTAATATTCATCAAATAAACTAAACACTTAGTGTTCAAAAAAGTTAGACAATTCAATTTTCTATATAAAAATATTTTTTGCTGAATCTTTTACTGAAAATATATCCTGATTTCTGATTTTCCCCGAACCCTCCATTTCCCATTGGATTACATGGGAATGACGATTTTCAAAAATTCATCAAAGTTATCATCAATTTTCGACCTATTGTAATTGAGGAAAAAAATTGAAAAAATTTGGAGGTATTGGAAATAAAGTCAAATTACGTTTCCATCAATATTATAAGTTATTTCATCGCCGGTTAAGTAAATAAAAATTCAAACGTAAAGAGGCTTTAACACGTAGTTCAATGGAGAAAAAAGGTTGCCAAACTTATGGAGGGGAGTGTACATGTAGTACACAATGTAGTAATGGCATTACAACTATATATGAGGCTAGAATAATTAAATTTATTATTTTTTAGTTTGTTTTCAGATAGGTACATTTTTTATTTTGTCTTGTCATGGGCTTTCAACAAGATAATTGAAAGCCCATGGTCTGTTACACAAGTGTACTTCGCTCTAATTAATACTGTAATTGATACACACAAGTCACGTTAATTTTGTAAAGATGGCGCACCGATATTAATTATTCTAATGGGTTTAAAAAATATGTGAAATAACATTACATTTACCCAAGCCTTACATTGGAACAAATCGTTGCTTTATACACAGAACTCAAATCATTTTGCGATATAATGAGTTTTGTTTCGCGAATATATCAGATATTTCGATAAATCACCTCAGAATGAAATTCTAGATAATCCACTACTTAGCCTTATCTAGCTGGATGCCGGAACATAGAAAATTATGGAAATGAGGATTGTGAGATATAGGTACCTTATAACAAGTCGCCTCACTATTGATTGTGAGAACAAGGGAGGGGGGGGGGGGGGTAGGGAGTAAAGAGCACAGGGGTGGAGAGTATTGTGATGTACATGTATGACGTCAATCAGTGTTATTTATCCCAACTAGCAACATTGGGAATACAAAACTAAATATCATAAAACCGTAACATATAAGCATAATAAAACATAAAAGCATAACATAAAGCTAGGGGAAGAGTGGGAAAACAAGGGTGTAATATTCGAAAGCATATAGGAAACCATAGGGAAACACAAAACAACAAGACCTAAAGCCATATGAACATATCATAAAATATGAAATAAATTAAAGTGTCATATGTTCGAAAGCATAAAGGCAAAACACCGAGGCCTTAAAACCATATAAACACGTTATAAAATATGAAATAAATGTAACTAACCTTACATATAGCCTACGATAGTTAATTAAGGTGAGCCAGGTGGCAGTATTGTTGAGGATAGTTTAGCTACGTTAAGGAAACAGCCCCCGAGTGGAATGAATCAGCCACAATGCATCGAGTTTTGGGCTAAATTTTTTTTACACATTGCAATATATTTTGTATAGAATCACCTAAACAATTCTATAAACATTTTGCAAGGGTCAAGTTGGCTAAGTATCAATTTCACTATGTAGAGTCAAGTTGTCACCTTGACAACCATTCAACAAGTGACCTTGAGTTTGTTATTGGTTATAGCGTGTTCGGATTGGCTGGAATCGGACACACCTTGCCTGATTGCTCATTCTTCTTTGCATACCTTATGAGACACTCTTCCACAATTAGTTACTTTGACGGAACGTCAATGTAACAAAATGGATGAACTTCCTGAATAAGAGTATTTTTGTTTTCTCGATTTAAACTTACGTTTAAGTCATGATGCGAATTATCATTTGGCACAAAGTTAGACAATATAGTTATATAACGGACTTTCGTCAATGTAACAAAAGCGAGAGGCTAAATATATGAATTGCAACTTCATTTACAAAACAAATTCCAAATCGACTATATTTACTTACTTACTTATTTACTTATTCGACTTATAAGTAGGTTTAAATCGAGAAAACAAAACACTCGTAACCAGGAAATTCATCCATTTTGTTACATTGACATTCCGTAGACTGCACTGTAAAAACACAAATGAGTTAAACATCGTTGAAATAAAATATGCCCCCATTGTACGTGTTATTCAGATAAACGCATTCTCGCTTTTGTTCAAATGCATTCAAAAAGACTAGAACATAAAAAACTTGTTTATCATTTAAAGTTTTAAACTCACATTCCCGTACACAACAACAAGTGTTCAACAGTAGAATAGTCAGGTTAAGTTTTTATGAATGTTATTAACTGATAAAGGATGTACACAAACACACTACCTGTTAAAACACTTCATAGGTATACTCGGTTACTGTACATTTAGAGCTACTGACACCATTAACACAGCGACTAAGGCACACAAGGACAGTCAAAATATTTGCGAAGCACAAGTGTCATTTACACCCTAAATGTCGATCTCGAATTAATACGAAGGGACACAAGTGATAAATCAGAGTTTAAGACGTTACAGTGATTGTCGAAATTAGCTCGATCCGTACGACATACAAATTGCCGGGCAGAAGCACGAATTCCAGTAGCAGCAAGAAGACAGTGATCGAGTAGACGTTTGACCAATTTGCAATCCATCAGATCGGCTCCAGGCAGGCAGTAATCGGTCCGTACTCCGTAAGCAGTTAGAATTTGAGTGAATTTGTGCAATACAGACTCAACTCCGGGCGTTCAGCATCATTGAAAAGGTCACGTCTACTGTACAAAACGCCCTAGCATCTCCATAGAACGATCTAACAAAAAACAAGGACAATTTAACAAAAACAAGCGACACCTCATCGCCGCTGAAGCACTGAACAAACCACCCAACACGCATTTGGGACATAACTCAAACGCTCCTGGTAAATTAAGGGGATAAATCAGACGGCAAATCAATTCGATTCTAACATACGTCTGGCTGCAATAGGCCTATTATTGTAAATAATTGCAGAAGAAGGTCTCGGTGAATAGGAAAACAGCTGATATAGCAAATACGATGGCGACTTCATCCAATGATGCTCTGGAAGGGAAGGTTGTTCTGATCCCGGTTGATGGGAGCCAGCACGCGGAAGATGCATTCGAATGTAAGTAAAACTAACTATTTCAGCAATATTTCCATGAATTCTTATTTTTGTGGTTTTAGCTGAGGTTTTACAATTGAATATGCACTCTAAAAGTTACATGAAGAATTTATAAGAGAATGAGAGAATACATCAATGTTTAGTGTCATGATACAGTCAAGTTCTGTGCTTTATTGAAATTGAGGTTAATATTTCTATGACGCATTGACCCGACGCATTGACTAAATATTATTTCGATGTTTTTTGGTGTTGCGTTATTTCATCTTTCAAATATCATCTGTGATATTCAGAAATTCGTGGAAGATTTTCAATTACTTTTTTCCTTCAAAAAGCGACACGCCTCATCTGTCTCGTCGTGGAGTTGTCACCATATTAATGAGAGTCCATCCTTAAGGGAGGCCCAGTTTAATTAATTATTGACATATGCTCTCAATATATCATATGTATCGGTAATATGTCAATCACTCTTCCTAATTCTAGCTAAAATACCGAAAAGCTAATATATTTTCAACGTGACTGAAACCCAAAATACACTTATCGTAATTGACCAGTTAAGGTAGGACGTTCTGGACGTATCGGTAATAAGTCAATTCATTTGCCTAATTCTAGCTAGAATACCGAAAAGCTAATATATTTTCAACGTGACTGAAACCCAAAATACACTTATCGTAATTGACCAGTTAAGGTAGGACGTTCTGGACGTATCGGTAATAAGTCAATTCATTTGCCTAATTCTAGCTAAAATACCGAAAAGCTTTACTGAAACCCAAAATACTACACTTATCGTAATTGACCAGTTAGGGTAGGACGTTCTGGACGTATCGGTAATAGGTCAATTCATTTGCCTAATTCTAGCTAGAATACCGAAAAGCTAATATATTTTCAACGTTACTGGAACCCAAAATACTACACTTATCGTAATTGACCAGTTAAGGTAGGACGTTCTGGACGTATCGGTAATAGGTCAATTCATTTGCCTAATTCTAGCTAGAATACCGGAAAGCTAATAGAATACATGTATTTTCAACGTTAGTGGAGCCCAAAATACGACACTTATCGTAATTGACCAGTTAAGGTAGGACATTCTGGATGAATAGTAATTCAAATGTTCTAAGTAAAATAGCCTGCTGGTTCATCCAACCCGGACTACCTTAGCAGCTCTGCATGAAGTAATTCTAGTAGAACTTCTCATTTTGGTCGCTTAAGGTAGGCATCGCACTATGAGTACTGTACATGTGTAACAACAGAGATTAATTAGAGGTTAATTAGCAAGAATATGATTGCTTGTTTTTTCTTGACCAACTGTACCTTAAGGCTGAGCTCATACAAGTATCTACTAAAAGGCCGTCCACTATATTTTTGTGAAGCTACGGCCGCCATACGCCCGCCGTAGAGCAAACTTGACCTAGGCTTTAGAACAAACATGGAATAATGGAACCCATCGAATAATTTTAATGAAGAAATATTATGTATCCCACTGATCCGCTATGTCAATATCAAATCTGATCGGGGTTTATTAGTGAATTAGAGATCTCAGAATTGTAATGCAATTTTAGCCCGAACTTATCAATTATTCAATAGTATAAAAACGGTCGAGTAATTTACCGAATCAAGTGAATAATTTTCCAATAAGAGATATTATGTATGTTTCTTGCTTAGGATGTTCTTGAGGGAAATCCTGAATTGATGTTTTAAAGGGGCAACAAGGCCTGTAGAGAGAAAATAGGAAACTTTTAACTTTTTCTGAGCTATCAAGGCAACATCTGGCTTAACATCTTCTTTGACATACCTATTTTCTTAAAATGTATGGATAAACTATCAATTTCAGCATTAATAAGTGTAAATTCAGTTCAAAGCTTCAAAAAGGGGAAATCCGCTTTTATATTTTTAAGATCCACCATGTTTCAAGAGGAATATCAGCTGAAATAATGTTTATCTAGGGGGTTTCTTAGTAGATAATAAAAATAGATGTAAGTCTTGATGAAATAGCCAAACTTAAATATATTTTGACACTGGTCCATGATCCTTGAATGGCCCCTCTGCACTAATTGTTGCAACTTTAATTTTGAAATGCACTAATTGCACGAACAGCATTTACTTCGAAGGTTCATTCTTATGTCATCGCCAAGACCTACATTGTAGTGACATCGCCAAGACCTACATTGTAGTGACATCGCCAAGACCTACATTGTAGTGACATCGCCAAGACCCTACATTTTAGTGACATATAGGATAGCACATATAATACCCATCGTGTTTTCCTACTGGTGTTCGGCTTGTGTATCGGCGACTGTAATGAAGGGTTACACTTTTGTCATTGCAAGTCGGCGACTGTAAAAAGGATTACACTTTTGTCATTGCAAGTCGGCGACTGTAAAAAGGATTACACTTTTGTCATTGTAATTTGACGACTGTAACCAACACTTTTGTCATTGTAAGTCGGCAACTGTTACAAAGGGTTACACTTTTGTCATTGTAATTTGGCGACTGTTACAAAGTGTTACACCTTTGTAATTGCAACCAAATGGTGACATTTTGTTATGTTGATGTACTGATATTTCTATTTGTGGGTCTTCCCATTGAAAAATCCGATAGTGATTTGTGGTATGAGAATTTAAAAAAATTTCGACAAAAACTTTCTGAATTCCTATACTTGAAAAATGTATTGTCATTATTATCCCATTGTTAAACACAATTACTGAACGTCTTGATCAGTTTGGGGGTTTCCAAAGATAAGAATGGCTCAATGTCAAACAAATCGGCGTTTCCAATGATTTACTAATCTTTAAAGACAGTTGCTGCATAATCACACCGGAACACCATGGCCATGACAACGGTAAAGTCAGATACCGTTTTCACAAATGGCGGACGTGACCAGAAGCACTGACCGTCGCTTCAACTCTTCAATCACTTGGTTCTCATTTCATAGGTCCTTAAATCGTCGCTAATTCTATACCCTTTGCATTCGTTTGACTGCGCTTCTTAAAAGAGAGCTTCGTCTTCTCTCTGTAGTTTAACTAGACTCTGCGCGCAGGGTACTAATTCTGTGCATGTATCAAGCTTTTGTGATGGTGTATTGTATGAAATTCCAATGATAATATGTACAAACTGTTACCTCGACGGCATGTGGGTAAACATATCCTCAAAAGGCATATCCTCAAACATCAAATGTGGATAATCACATCAAAAGACAAAAAATGGCCATAAATGGAAAACCTTACGAGTATTATGGATTTTAGAATAAAAATATTCCATATGTAGATAACAATATCACTAACATTCCCTAGGAAAGCCAAGTATAATAAATAATTTCGCTAATTTAACCTGCCAAACACATGTAAACTGTCCAACCAGTCCCACCTTAATCCATTCGCATACTCTTGATAAAATGTACTTTGATAAAATAATACGTTAAGTACAACTATTTTAATAATCAACCTCTTGAATACTTATACTAACATTATAACCCGTAGAATCATAAAAATTCTCTCTCATAAAGTGACAGTAGTTATCAATAAATTTTGTTTCAAATATGGGTCTAACTTTAACATTTGAACAAATTGCACGTCACAACATATTGTATTCTAGGTAGTAAAGTGTAAAACAGGCAAAAAAATGAAAAAGGCTATCGCTTTCAAAGTGTTAATATCCGATATATTTCAGTCATCTCTTTTACATTTTGCACGATACATATGTTCTCAAATGTATGTTTAACATTTAGTATCACCACATACGAGGGTTGTTCCAGAAGTAATGTACTATATGCTCTAACTTTCATGGAAAAATATCAATTATTGGTAAAGTTAGAGCATATTGTGCATTACTTCTGGGACAACCCTCGTAACTCCATAAATCTTGCAAATCACACTTTTATCAGTAGAGGTAATTGATAAGAATAAGTAGTTATAGTTGTAATAGAACAAACATGGGCCATTGAGAAATGAAATATAATCGTAATAGCTGTGTACTCAGGGTATTAAATGGGCGAGGCAAATTTAAATAGATGAGGCAAAGTGAAATAGGTGAGACACATTGAAATAGGCGAGGCAAATTTGAATAGGTGGGGTAAATGAATTTAAAGGTAAGACAAATTAGAATAGGTGAGGCAAATTAAAATAGATGGGGCAAATTTAGATAGGCAAATGTAAACAGATAGGGCGTTAGGGGCCATACTAGCTAGATATAGTATCGTATCATAGTAGGTGGGTCAAAATTAGGCCAATTGAGATAAATTACCACCTTTAGATTTCATTTCCATGTAGGGTTTGTTGAAAAACAATTTTGTGAGGCAACTGTCTCAACTGCCCCATGTCTGACTACATTCAAGGTACTGTGATCATATTAAACAAATTACATCTAGATTGTTTCTCTATTGAGAAACTGTTCCAAGGCATTACATTCTATTTGTGATTAGTTTAACTCGAATTAAAGAAAACCCTAATTTGAAACTTCAGACGAGATTACCAAGACCCGGACAAAAATCTGCCCAACCCCATATAAACTTAGACAACAAACTGACATCTAGGCATTATTTTTTACTTTTTTTCCTCAATCGAATCATAATTAGAATTTCTCAGGTGTTTTCTAGATTGTGTACGTACGTTAGGTGGATATGCCAATTTCGAATAAACTAGCTCCGCAATCCGGTGTCCTTAGCGTTAAGAAATTTAAGAAACAAAACAAAATTGAGTCAGCCCCTTTGACCTCAGACCTGATCACATTCAAATAAACAATTTTTTATTCTCAAAATTTAGCAACTGAAATTTTGTCAACAGTTTTAAAAATAGTTCATGTAAACATCTTTATAAAGACTCTAGATACACAAAAAACCTAGGCATTAACCTCTCGGACATGAAACATTTAAATCCTCATAAAATGATGCACGACACATAGCCAGGCACTTTATATTTATCAGTTTATACCTATTTTAAGTTGAAATAAACCCGTGCCCTAGTTCTTATAGATACTTAACGAATGATAACCTCTATATACAGTAAATAAAA